CGGGCTGTGCGACCGCACAGGGCCCCCAAATTCCAGGAGCCCTCGATTCTAGGTCTATGTCTCCTTAACTTTAGGCCATTCTTACAACTAACACAGGCCCATGGCTCTCCTGAACTGGGTCTTCTCCTCAGTTTCCCGAATGACCTTTTCTGAGTCCAGCTTGACGTAGCCTGCCGCCGATCGATATCCATCTTCCCGAGACGAACGAAGTGTGGCGCCGCCGCACGGTGACGGAGGCTAGAGGTGTTGTCTAGTTTGATCTCTTTGTTTCCTCCCCGGAGGTGCAGCCCATATCCCTTCTCGCGTGAAGAATTTTCGTATGGTACAACAACAGCAAGTCGTCTGTGCATTGCATCGCAGGAAGGTGCCTTCTCTGATGATCTGACTTACTATAGCTTGTGTTTTTTAGTCTGTTGGCTGGCCATTCCTCATTGAAATTATGCACCGTTTCAGTTTTGGGAACAATTGGATTCAATGCACGGCTTTGTTCCTCTCTGCTGCTACTACAAGGGTCATCGTGAATGGACGTTTGGGTGACCCAATCTGACAGGTTTCTTCAAGGGGTTGCTTAATGCCAGGTTTCATCCAGTTTTTCTTCGCTATAACTCTATCGTGTAAATACTCTTTTATATTCTTAACATAATGTTTTGTGTATTCTGAAATAAAAATGGGCTATTAGAAACAGCCGGTGGCCCATACCAAGGCGAGGGCACCACCGATCTGTCCACCAGGTGCGCTCAAACCGAAACAGTATTTAATTTAGACTATTTTGTTCCGTTGAATGATTATATTAGTGAGTATATTGTGTGTATATGCACCAGTTCATCAAGATATGTAGTAGGTTAGTTGACCAAGTTGTCATACGCCAAGATTTTCAAGATTGTTGCTAGTTTAAAATTCAGGTTCAATCTTTTTTTGTTATAGTATTTTCATGAAGCAACCTGTATTCCAGAAATTTAGGGGCCCCATTCGCATTTTGCACCGGGCCCCCGAATTTTTGGAGACGGCCCTGGTGAGTATTGACAACAACAACAACTATGCTAGGAGAGATTATGTCGCCATCAATAGAATCCCAAACAAATGGAAGTATGGTCACTCTACCAATTACCAAACTTAGCTAAGGCTGGTCATAGTGGGGAGTAACTTGTACTAGTGTCATGCATACGATACTAGTCTAAATTACTATCTTTATAGTGCAAAGTAACATAGTAGTGGTGTCATAGATGGCTTCATTTATTAGTTTGTAGACTCATCCTTTCTCATAGAGTTTGTATGTCGTTGAGGCCTGACATCTCTCTTCAGAGGTAGTAGCGAGGGAGGTTAGAGAAAGGAGGGGGAGAGCTTCATCATTCCACTCTTTGATTGACTCCACTTGTTGCCTCGTTTGTTTGTAACTTTTTAGAAAGTTTTATGATATAAAACTAGCTCAGTGCAGCAAATACGTTCTCCATTGCCGACACTCAAGCAGGGACGAAGCTAGAAAAAATGGGCACTGGTGTCAACCACTGCCCACGCTAAACCTCTAGCAGAAATTATAGTAGTGCAACAACATAGATAATGGCCGAGAGTGATATAAAGAGCAACAATATGGAACGAGCTGGTGATATTATTATTACATAAAAAGATCGTACCGAGTAGCGAGTATTGGCTGAGCGAAGTCATAAAGTAACACTTCTTTACATATTCCGGAAATAATAGGCAAAAAGATGACTTCGGAACGTTTCATTTGTAACTTTCTGAAAAGGATGAACAAAAGAACATATTATATTCACAGCAATAGTAAGAAACAAATAATGCAGAAAATAAGTATCACTAAGGAAAAAAGAAAGTGATACGGAGACTCACATTTTATAACTTCCCTTCTTGATCTTTCATCTTCTTAAATATATCAATCACATCATCATTTGTTATTGTAGAAAATATGTCTTTCTCCACATAGCAAATCAGGCAATCACTCATGAACTCATCACCCATTTTGTTCCGCGTCACCCATTTTGTTCCGCAAAACACTTGGCGATATTCATTACTGAAAAGCATCTCTCCACTGATGCTGTGGCAACTCGCAAATTAGCACCAACTTGAGAAGTTGATACACCAAAGGAAAAGCAAGATGCTTTTTAGTTTCCACCAACACTTTAGCAAGATCAACAATGCCATCCAAATTGGCAAATCTTTGGTCCGCTCAGACATTATCTATGAAAATCCGAAGTTCATGACCAAGATTCATCTATGAAAATATTAGCAAGATCAGCTGGATCATGAGGAAGTGCATCTAAATTAATTTCTGCCGGAGGCGAAGGAGTAGTACCAATATTTGATGCAAGATCTTGTCTTGGTCTAACTGGCCTTGAAGTCCCTGCCACATTACTATCTGGTGCTGGTCGTTTCCCTTTCAACAAAGATTTATCCATATTCTCCTGGTCCTTGGCAAATCAAAGAAAAGTAACTCAAAAAATTACCTAGTCAATAGCCATCATGAGAAGAAATCAAAGCACATGTAGAATTGTAGACAATCTAGAGACCGAGAGAGAGAAAGAGAGGGTGCGGATTACCTGGGATGGGAAGAGCCAACACTTGCAAATTAAAGATTATGCACCGACGGACGGTCCGCCGATGTCAACATTCACCCGATGAAATGGCGTCGAGTTCGCCGTCATTCATCGCCGATTCGCTGCGGCGGCGGCGGAATTAGGGATCGAGATGAGGAGGCGAAGAGACAAGGGCGTCCGTCTGTTCGTGTATAGGTACAGGCGTATGACAGCCGAGTAGCGTACATTGATTAATTGATACATAGAGACGTGTGTATGCATTGGGCCTGGCCTTCTATCATTGTTTGCTGCCTCAGACTGTTAATTTTTTTTAGAGAAAAGTATGTTTTTGGTCCCTCAAGTTCCCACAAAGTATAGACTTGGTCCCTCAAGATTTTTTGGTATGCATTTGGTCCCTCAAGTATCAAAACCGGATAAGTTTGGTCCTAAACCAGATTTTGAGCATGTTGACCGGGTTTGACCGCCACAAAACCGCCTGATAAACAGTAAATATGAAAAAGAACTTCGAAAATATGACAAAATTTTTGCTAGAGCCCATCCAATGTCATTTCATGACAAAATTTTGGTCGCACCTTGCGCACGTAAGCATATTGGACCCCAAATTTTTTCAGAATTTTTTGATTATTTTTGAATTTACTATTCATCAGCCAGATTTTTTTTCCTTTTGCCACAAGCTCCTTGAGTGCCGAAAGAGCCCGAAATTTTGTTTGCATATTGCGCATGTAAGCATATCCGACCCCAAAAAATGTAAGGTTTGTTTTATGTTCTTTTTTCAAATTTATTGTTCATCGGGCGGATTTGTGGCAGTCAAAACCAGTCAACGTGCTCAAAATCTGGTTTAGGACCAAACTTATCCGGTTTTGAGAATTGAGGGACCAAATGTATACCAAAAAAATCTTGAGGGACCAAGTCTATACTTTGTGAGAACTTGAGGGACCAAAAGCATACTTTTTTTATAACTTAATGGATGTTATGGTCTAAGGCTTTAGGGATTAACTGCTCTGCTGATGGGCTGGGGTCAATGGAATTTTTAGGCTGGGGTCAGACGTATTTTTGTTAATACTTATTAGCACAAAAGCCAGAAGGCACTGGTGTCAATTGACACCAGTGGCTACATGGGAGCTCCGTCCCTGCACTCAAGATTGACAAAGGTACACTCAAGAACATAGCCATACAATTGATACTAACAATTGTTCTTCATTTGCTCGCACAACTAGCATAGCACTAGTGCATAAACAGGAAGCAGTGTAAATGAATCAGCTCATCGATTGAATCCTAGTTTCATTTCATGTCTAAGTTTTACCAGGAAGACCGATGTTCAGTTTCTAATGCCTGCTATCGTTGCAGGGGCCGCATAGTTGAGGAAGATGATGTCCATTCATTCGGACAGGCAACAACTATCTAGGTTGTACGGCCTATCGGAGAAGGCATTCATAAGAGAAGAGCGGGCATGTATTGATTTGCATCGACAAATCTTGCATTCTATCAAAAAATAAAATAAAATTCAAAAGATCAGTTTTGTCATCTCATTAGTAAATGACTTCCAATAGATATTTTCTTTCTTTCACAATTACATGTTAACCGCATACATTCACGAATTATACAAGCTCTTAGAATTTTGTTAATATAATTATTGCTCCTTTTTAAAATGGATATGTGTGCCAACACACGTCCCAAAAAGTACGCAAGCAATCATTCTTGATACCAAGGTCATGCATATTTAATTAGTGAATTTTATTTTGTAGCTCAAATTTTCTCCATGATATAGCAACCAAAACAACAAAGAGTGCATTTAAAAAAAAGGCAGTATATGTAACAGACTAGATTGAGGGGCATAGTTGGATTAAGAGTCCAGACCAGAGACCCTTTTAAAATATATGCATTATAGGCCATAGCAACCCATGCGGGTTCTACTTGTTAGTAGGAGTAGTAGAAATGTAAAAACTGGATTAAAACCTTTTTGCCTCACATGTAAAAAAGAATGGGTAAGAGGGAGCATGTTAAAATTTGCCTTTTGCATAACGCACGAAGGAACGAATTTGCACTCAAACCGTGGGCCAAACCGTTGAAACCGCTGTGGTCGTGGTTTAATGCCGAGAGAAGGGCTCCCTTGCAAGTTGCAAGGTCGTGCATGCGAGAGGGTGCATGCATGGATTGTCAGACGAGCTTGACTTTGACAATTTCCGAGAGAGAGAGAGAGAGAGAGAGAGAGACCAAGACAACGGCGCGGAGCCGTGCCCACGGCCTTCGGCGTCGCTTCGCGCTCGCGCGTGCTACCATTTCCACAAACACCTCGAGCTCGCACCCGCAGATAAAAAGGCCACCTCAATCCTCCGGTCACCGATAAAAAGGCCACCTCCAATCGTCTTCCTTCTACTAGCACTAGCACGATACTGTACTGGCTACTAGGGGAACGTATTCGTAGAAGTTGTAGTGCACAGCTCATCGATCATGGCGTTGGCGGTGGTGGCGAATGTGGCCACGGTGGCACAGCTCATCGAGCAGGTGACCGGCATTGTCTCCAGGATCATTCGGGCGGTGGCGACGGCACGCCAGAACAAGCAGGAGTGCGAGCACCTCGCGCTCCGCCTCTCCATCATCGGCGACGTGCTGCCTCACCTCCCGCGGCTCCCGGTGGTGGAGCGGCCACTCAAGGAGCTGCGCGCGGCGCTGGGCAAGGCGCACGAGATCGTCCTCGCTTGCCAGGATCGGAGCGCCGCCAACCAGTTCTTCGGCGCCCGCCGCCACGCCGATAGCTTCAGGGAGGTCAATGACAGGATCTACTTCCTTCTCAGCCTCTTCCCCATGGTCAACTATGCCGCCATCACCACCCATCTTGCTCGAATCAGTACCCAACACACGATCACCGTGCCATCGCCGGGCTCTAGCTCTGGCTCCCTGCAGACTCTGACGGTGGTGCCCGATTACCCCTGCATGTTCACGTGGGCGGAGATTGTAACGGCGACCCACAACTTTGCTGACAAGCTCGGCGGAGGTTGCTCGGTGACGGTGTACAAGGGCCGTCTCCACGACGGCCCGGAGGTGGCCGTTAAGGTGCTGGACAAGCACATGACACATGACACGTTCGTGCCGGAGCTCGTGATCACCTTCCGCCTCCGCCACGACCACATCGTGCGCCTCGTCGGCTGGTGCGAGGAGGAGGACGACCGCATGTTCGTCTACGAGCATATGAGCAACGGCACGCTTAGAGACCGCCTGCAGCGCGCCAGCGGTGGCTCTAGCTCGTCGGCAGCGACGGCGCCCTGGAGGACCCGCGTCGCCGCGCTGCTGGGCGCGTCCCGGGCCATCCAGTACTTGCACTGCGGCGCGGAGCCAGTGGTCATCCACCGCAATGTCAGCTCGTCCAGCATCCACCTGGACATGAACTGGACACCGCGCCTGTCCGGCTTCGGCGCAGCGGTGTATCAAGCGGCGGGCGAGGAGCATGGCGGCCAGCTCGTCGAGGAGGTCGTCGGCACGCCCGGGTACGTCGACCCGGAGTACAACCGCACGAAGCGTGTGAGCACGGCGAGCGACGTGTACAGCTTCGGGATGGTGATGCTAGAAGCGCTGACGGGTGAGGATCCGGCCACCCTGCAGCTGGACTCCATACGGACCGGGAAGCTAGCACTGAAGGATGTGCTGGACCGTCGGCCGTCGCTGGACCCGACGCTGCCGCAGATGGAGGCGCTGGAGATCGTGGCGGACACGGCGAAGCGCTGCCTCTGCCTGTCGCGGATGGACCGGCCGGCCATGTCGAAGGTCGTGGCCAACCTCGAGGAGGCACTCCAAATGATACGCAGCCATGAGCCAATGTCCATGGCACGCTGGAGCCTCATTCGACGAAGAACCAGTGAGAATTAACTACACTGGTGTGAAAAACTCTCTTATACCATAGGAATCATAGGACATAGGGAGTAATGCTTAGTCAAACGACAAATAAAGCATCTGTATCCAAAGTTTTGTTTTTTGGTTGACCACCGAGAAGTTGTGATGCCGCTCCAGAAAGAAATTGTGTCAATTAGCATCTGTATATATGCATATATTATCACGTTGCAGTGCTCGGCGTGTTTCCAATATGCTACTCCCTCTGTTCACAATTATAAGATGTTTTTTGATATTTTAATATGAATTACATATGGACTGAAATGAATGAATAAATGCATTCAAATGTGTTTACATTGTGAATGGAGGGAGTAAGTCACACAGTCGATTCCTTTCTCCTCCCACGAACCATCTAAGGGCTTCTTTGAACCAAAGGATTTTCACAGGAATTTTGAATGATTTTAATTCTTAGGAATTTTTTCTACATAGGTTGTTTGATTTGTAGGATTGTAAACCATAGGAATTTTTTCATAGGATTCATTTGCACTATATTTCATAGGAAATTTTCCATCCACTCAAACCTCTTTAAAAGAATCCTACGTTTCTCCTATGCACAATCAAACACTCACACAATCCTGTAGGATTCAAGATGACATGCCACTCTAATCCCACGTTTTTTCTATTCCTGTGTTTCGGAAATCCTATGAATTAAAGAGGACCTAAAACCTTGAGAGGTAGATTCCATGGAGGCGGAGGAGCAACATAGTTGTTGTGGATTTGGATGACATAGAGGTCAGGTAGAAAAGAACTGGACTTTTAAAAACCTTGTTTGTATCTTTTATACTTAATTAAAGAGAACACTTGGGCTATTTGCACCGCGTTGATGGCGGGCACGCGGCGCGCGAAGAGGTCGCACTCCAACTTGTTCTAGCACGCCGTCTCCACCGCCCGCTTGATCTTGCAGATGAGCCTGAACGCGTTGCCGACGAGCTGCGTCACGACCGCCGCATGCCCCAAAACCGCAAGGGTCGCCATCAGGGACGAAGCTCCCTTGTAGGCATTGGGGTCAATTGACCCCAATAGATAGTACTAAGCACTATCTATTTATTGAGGATGACCCCACTGTCGTTGACATGACCCTAGTAAACTTTTTTCCTAGCTTCGTCCCTGGTCGCCATGATGGCTCAATGACAGTGTACTGGCCTACGAACACTAAGTACGTGCGGTGTTCCCCTATTACTAGCTAATAATCAGAACCAGAAGAAGTAGTCGTAGTACAAGTGGAGCTAGTTGCTAGGTTTTCTATATATGGGGAATCTTAATTTGTTACACGGAGATACTCGCTCAGAGACCAAGTTGCTGGTCGCTAGTGGAATCTCCGCCCGCGTGAACGTCCTGGGATTAGTAGTGGTAGAAGGAAGAAGATTGGAGGTAGCCTCTCGAGGTGTTTGTGGAAATGGTAGCGCGTAGCGACGCCGAAGGCCGTGGCCAGTGGGCACTCCCCGTCATTGTCTTGGTCCGTCGCGCGCTCCCTCTCTGCACCGCACCGTGTTGGCGACGACCCGATGAATTGTCAAAGTCAAGCGTGTCCGACAATCCATGCATCCCCCTCGATCCACCCACATGCACCACCTTGCAACCCCTTCTCTCGGCATTAAACACTAATTAACCACAACCACAGAGCGGTTTCAACGGTTTGGCCCACGACCTTGCAACCCAAACCATAAAAGGAGATGGTTGTCTATTTTTGCCGGGCTCAGAATTTCAGGAGATATCGAAGCGAAATACCGCAGGAACACAAAATAATTTGAAAGACATTGACATAGTATTTTGGCGGGACGCTTCGGGACATATCAACAGGAAATTTTAGCCGGACATTTTCATTTCGTGCATAACTTTTTATTCCAAAAAGGTGATAGAGCACTAGTATACCACATAAGTTACACAAAATATTACTAGCGAGCATGTCAGATGATTAAAGCATGTATATGGAAATAATATAGTTCACACCAAGTTTTAAGTTCTTTGGTGTTTACTATAAATGTTACTATTAGTTTAATATGAAATACATAGTATCCACATGTTGTCCGCTTATTACTGAACCTGCTATAACTAATGCTTTAGAAGTTTATATAAATATGCTTACCTAATCATATACTAAAAACTACCATTAAAGTATTTATTTGATCATACGCTTAAGATATCTCGACCATGATATTTAAGACTATAAACAATAGACGAACACGCACGCACACATCAAAATTTTCTCCATATAGTTTAGCAATTTGTCAAAAATATCTCAAAGACGGTTCTTTGTTACAAAATACAGTTTAAAGCTATCACAATGCAAGTGTGTTTAATGATACACATAAAAATCCCTGCAAAAACAATTGCTTAAAAATAGGAATAACTAATATTAAGGAACAAGTTTGCATCATTAAATATGAAAATAATGAACTATAGCGATCAATATTGTTGCATGATAAAACTAAGTTATCCAAAATTATAAAAAAATTAGTATAATTATTTTACAGTAACCAATCTCAAAATTAAATTCAACTACATAAAATAATAAACTTAAATTAACATATACCTAGTACAAATTCCCTTCATATTAATGGGTGAATATCTGGTGAGCCCTCAGCCCTCTCGGGGGAAGTTGATGCTATTTTGGTTTGATTTGGTTGGAAACACGCGCACGTAGAGGTGTAGGGTATTGAGTAGATCGATCAATCCTCAAATAGGCTAAGCTAGCTAGCCGATTTATTCTATGCTATGCGACCAGAGAAAGAGATGAAGTGGCACGTAGTGGAGAGGGAACAAGTTGGTTACCTTATTAAGAGGAGCCGATCGACTCCACGTCGCTCTCGCTGGTGCCCTGGCCAGCTTCGCCGTTCCTGCCCTCGCCGAAGCCCTGGCTGGCCTCGCCCTCTCCACCGGACTCAATGCTGGTGGTGAATGTCGCCTCTGCGCTGACATCTAGCTCGTGGGCTGCCCCTTCCACCTCCACTTCCGTGCCACCACCCCCCTCCTTCTCATCATTCTCGTCCTCCTCTCATTCCTCTCCTTCTCGTCTTCTTCACCCCCTCCTCCTCGTCCTCCTAATCTCCCTCCTCCTAATTGTGCTCGTGTGTCTTCTCATCCTCATCCTCCTCATGTTCCTCTTCCTCCTCACGCTCTTATCCCGCCAATTATTGTAGTTTTTCTTCTTTTTTCATCCATTTGAACGCTCTCCTCTGAGCATCCTATCTATCACCAGTCTCCATTGTGCTCGTGTGTCTTCTCATCCTCATCCTCCTCATGTTCCTCTTCCTCCTCACGCTCTTATCCCGCCAATTATTGTAGTTTTTCTTCTTTTTTCATCCATTTGAACGCTCTCCTCTGAGCATCCTATCTATCACCAGTCTCCTCGTCCTCCCGGAGGTCTTCGCTTGACGATCCATCATCATCAGTGCAAGATCTCTTGCGAGCGTCGGAGAGCTCATCTTTCTCCGACGAGTCATTCGACGGCCTAGTCGAAGTATACATTGTGTGCTCGTTGGAAACACTGGTAGAAAAAGGGCCTGTTGTCCCGGTTCCTAAACCGGGACTAAAGGGTCGGTACTAATGCCCTGACCCTTTAGTCCCGGTTCAAACCAGAACCGGGACTAAAGGCCCTCCACGTGGCCGGTCCACCTTTAGTCCCGGTTGGTAATACCAACCGGTACTGAAGGAAATTTTCTAATTTTTTTTGAAATTTTTTTTATTTTCAAATTCTGAATTATTTTAACCTCTAATCTCTAATCACCCCTCATCACTGCTTAATTTAATCTCTAATCACCCCTCATCATTCTAAATCATCTAACTTCCCGGACGGTCACCCATCCTCCCACTCCCCCAGCCTGAGCACGCTTAACTTCCGGGTTCTATTCTCTCTCGTTTCCAAGTCTGCACTCGTTGTTTTCCTGACAATAGTAAGATGTCAATCCTATTAACCCTCAGGAGTTTAGCTTGAGCATGAAGTCACACATTTCACTGTTTGAGTTTGAAACTATTGTTCTAAAAAACAATAATTTTTTAGTAACACTAATATTTCTTGAATAAGTAGTTTGACCATAGTTTGACCAGATTTGACCAAAATTCAAAAAAACTGAAATAATTATTTAATAACACTAATATTCTTGAATAATTATTTAGTAACACTAATACTTCTTGAATAAGTAGTTTGACTATAATTTGACCAGATTTAATGAAAATTTAAAAAACTGAAATTTGAGCATAACTTTTTTTCCTTTTGGAATTTGAGGATTCTACAAATTTGCAAACAGGCCGTAGGCGGTCTCCATCGGATGTAACTTTTCGAGTAGATGATTTTCCATATAAAAAACTTTTTAATCTATGCAAAAGTTATGCCCATTTTACAAATTCCAGAGAGATTTTGTAAATAAAGTCGAAATTCATATTTGTAAATTTTCCCAACAACTAGACCACATATCACATGGGAAACTAATTTTATTTTATTTTTTTTGACATTTCCATCATTTCTTTTGTTTTTTCTAAAACTGAAAAGGCGGTCCAAGGGGGGGGAGTTTGAAAATGGGACCTTTAGTACCGGTTCGTGCCATGAACCGGTACTAATGGCTCAAAGCCCATTAGTCCCGGTTGGTGGCACCAACCGGTACTAGTACTGGTTGGTGCCACCAACCGGGACTAATGGGCATTGCACCCTTTAGTCCCGGTTCGTGGCACGAACCGGGACTAAAGGGCCCAGGTGAACCGGGACTAATGCCTTAGCCGCACGAACCGGGATAAATGCACCCATTGATCCCGGTTCTGGACTGAACCGGGACTAATGGGCTTGCCTGGCCTGGACCAAAGCCCCCTTTTCTACTAGTGAAAGCTCTTGCGAGTATGGGCAAAATATAAGGGAAGAAATTTATGTGAGCTCAAACATGTGCACACACCCCGTGTGCTCTCATTACTAGTATATGGACAGTATAGCTACAAAGGACACTAGTACATGCCTACAGTAGCTACAGGACAACTCGACGATATGACCA